CAATGGAATGACCAGGTGGGAGGATATGGCATTGGGAGCCTTTCACAAGCCATATGCTACTAGAGAAATTTGGATTTCCCACAGACTAATGACTTCCCAGTGGATTAACACACTTGTCTGAAAAAAGTGCAAGTTTAAGAACAATGCTGGATATTGGATGATCAGAATAAAACTTTGGATTCCCCTGCACATGTACCAAGACAGCTTTTACATTTAAGTGATGACAGAATAATTGACTTCTGCCTGAAGAAATGGCATTATTAAAGGAGAAAGCTCCCCATGAAGCAAACAAGAATACATTGTGGTCATTTTTATCATGTGGCTGAGAGCTTCTTCGCAAGAGTTATTTATTCTGCACTTCTGATTCTATACTTACAGTAGTTTGCCAGGGGCTTGCCCACGCCTTCACCCTACCCCATCTTGTGCAGCCATTTTCATGCTGTCTCTTATAATGCGACTGCAGCCCTGCCAACTGGTTCATTCAGATATTTTACCCTGCATGGCTATAAAACTGTAAGCTGCTTCAAAGTTTAAAAAAATCTCAAAGATCAAATATTTGAATACGTTTTTTATCAGAATCTAGAAAACAAAGCAAAATGCAACATGTACTTAATGACAGTACAAATCCTGTTTCATAGGAGAGGGAAGACTGTGCAGGGTCTCCGCAAGAGCAAGAAAACAGACAAACCACACAAAGTGCGTTATGAGTCTTTATCTCAGTAAACGTCCCCCTTCTTCCACACACAAATACTGAGAAGGGATCCTCTTGCTGGAACTGCAGCGCTGGCCTGGAATGTGTAAAATTAGGGAAAATGACAGTTTGTAAATCCCAGACCACGGCAGGCCGTTTCCTTTCTGTGGTGTATCTCCTACAGATGCTCTCAGGAGAAGAGCTTCACAAGGGTTACAGGAATAATCAGCTGTCTTTTAGCTAGTGTTCTAAAACAAGCCTGTGTATTTTGGCAATTGTGCTATACCACAGTTCCCCCTTGTGGCTGTGCAACAGAACATATAAATACACAGAGAAAGAAAACCCCAAGGGAAAAAACCCCATGTGTAAAGGACATGTCGTTGCTCACACAAAGCGAGTGGAAGAATCCTCAGTGAAGCAACGGGTTAAACGCCTCATGTGGAGAAGCCCTGAATGAAGCTACATCAGCCTTCCTGAACCTGGAGCCCTTCCGATGTGTTCAGGTACAACTCCCATCACCCCGTCAGTGTGGCGAAACATGTCTTCCTGCCTTGTCACTCTTTCCCCTTCTTCCCAAAGATGCTTTTCTTAGGGTGCAACTGTGTATGTTTAGATGGAAAAATGCCCTATGAATGGCTAAGGCATGTGGAAGTTGTTGGGCTTTTTCTGTCTAAACTTGGATAGGGTTGTGCCTATAGTGAGAAGGCCTTGTCTCTTTCAAAGAGGCCTCTGTATAGTCCTTAATTTGAAGGAGTGCTCAGCCCTGGCTGGAACTAGGATCCTGACATACTTGTGCAGATGAAGAATGGTCTCCTGGCCCTTGCTCCAGCATGCTGTCAGAGAGAGAAGAGAGAGGAAGTGGAGCAATCCACCAGCCCTGCTGAAAGACTGACTTACCCTTTTTTCCTCTTCCCTTCCCATCCCTATTTCCTTGAATATCATGCCCTTTTAGACCAGAAGCCTATGGGCAGGGGCAGCCTACAGGACTGTCTCGTGTAAGCTGCGCCAGGAGCCTTTTTTCTAAGGAGCAGGATGTTAACAAACATGCATTCTTCAAATAACTAAATTGTATCAAAACACTTGTTGATGCCGAAACATGCAATATCATTGATTTAAGCTATAGATTTGCCCCAAACCTGTAAACATAGAATAAGTCTTCAGTTGTGGATGGGTTAGTTTCACAGGACAATATTTATTTTACTGACGCAACAATCACATAAAATGTGAAAGAGTTATATACCTGCCTTTGGGGGAGCCACAGCCCAGCCAGTTTAAGAATATATGTATTTCGAAGCAGGGCCTATGACAGAATTTAACAGCGTATTGTCCCTGTTCAGCAGCCCCCTCCAGGATACTCCGTTCCAGCATTCCCACCCTCAGACAGTGGGCAAGCATTCCATAGCTACAGAGAATGAATGGTTGTCTTTAGTATTTTTGCAAAACTTAGGGCTCCCTTAAGCTTGCTTATAATTCTTATGTGTGGGTGGTGTCATTCTGGAAAAATACAAACATGCACAGCCTGAGGGAACTCAGCTTGCGTATGCCTCTCTCGCCGTCTCTATATATACATTTGTGTACATAATGGGAAATATCATCAGCAATGTCCCCGCCACGGTTCCGTAGGTGTCTCTGACAGTTGCGCAGCAGTGTGCATGCAACAACTTCAACATCAGCAGCAGCGGCAGCAGAGGGTGGGACAAGAAGAGAAGCACATTTAACCGAGCGGCAACCTGAGTGTGGAGAGTTCTGCCAATGGATGCAGCCCCTGGAATGACGAAAATCCATGAGACAGTCGACCTTACAGAAATGATCAGATAGTAGAGTGGTTGCTGTCACGCTAGTTCTGCATCTTTTGTACACCAGTCTAATGATATCTGAAACCCCTCTTCACATAAGCCTCCTTTGGGATACACAGGAAAGATCAGCTGCTAGCCCTGCTGTCCAGTGCTGGACTAGCACAGTGCAGCAAAACCATGTATGAATTGCATTCCTTTGACACAGCCCTGGAGGGAATTTTAAAAGTATATGGAGAAAAATGCCAGGTGCCATGCCTTCCTCCATGGCCCACCCCAGCAGGTCAGAAATCATCCATATGTAAACCATCCCGAATACCTCAGTTTGCTTTGTTAGACAGCGTTAATGCTCACCTATCCTGTGATAAAAGACAAATGAGCCAGACATACCATTGTGGCACTCTCTTGCACCCTTACTTCTGAGTAAGAATTATTGCATGGGACAGAAGCATGAGGCCCTCCAGATTTTGTTGGACTCAACTTCCCTCAGAGCCTTTGGTGAGGGATGATGGGTCCTGAAGTCTACCAACATCTCGAGAACCACACTTCCTCCATTCCTGATGAATAGGAGCAAGTTGCAGGCATTCATTCTTACACTGGCATCCTATGCCTGTCTACTCCAGCCTAAGTCTCTCTGAGTTCAACGGGGCTTGCTGACCAGTTAAGTGTATATGGAATTGCAGCCTTTGGGTACTTTTTTTAAAAAGGACAAAGTGGCAAAGTGCATCTGTTGCTGTTACTTGCTTTTTTGGATCTCTTGTCTCTGAATTGCTGTATTGCATCCTATTTTTGGTCTGCTGTTTTATAATTTCTGGGGGATGTTTTAGTTATGTCTTTCTTTTTAATTGCTTGTGTGGGCTGCCTTGGGGACAGAGCATATAAATCCTGGAAGCAAAACAAACACATGCAGCCTGTAGCACTATGAGACAAAAATGAGAGGGAGGGGGGAATGGGCAAGGTGAATTTCAGGGGTGGGGGGAAGCTTTGTTCCACATATTAGATTTCTGAGAGAATGTATGCTTGTATCTAGCATATCTCCCATCTTTTCTCTCTAGCAATTAATGTTATTGTTGTAATTTTAGTTAAATTAAAATTCCAAGCAAGCATATTTAGGATTATAATCTAATTTCTAGTCAATGATTTGGGCTGCAATGATGAACATGTTTACTAAGGAGTGGGGAGCAAACCACAAATGAGCACAGTGGGATTTATTTCTGAGTCTCATCTGAGAGAGTTTGTATGAGCTCAGTAGTGAACTAGATACCTTTAGACCTTGGACTTAATGATCTTACAGACATGCACACCCTAAATTCACATTCCTCTCCTCCTCCTTGCACTGCTGTATTTTACAACTGTTTCAACTCAAATTAAAGAACTGCCACATCTGCAGGAATAAAATGGAATTTGCTTCTACTGCCCTGACTTATTTGGAATAAGCCCATTTTGACTGAGGGGGATATGATAGCCCTCTACAAGTTTCTCTAAGGTTGTCACAAAGCAGAAGGACGAGCTCTCTTCTTATTCATCCCAGAATGCAGGACACAAAATAATGACCTCAACTTGCAGGAAACCAGATTCAGGCTAGGTATCAGGAAAAACTTCCTCGCTGTCAGAGCAATTCAACAGTGGAACCAGTTGCCCAGAGAGGTGCTGGGCTCTCCCACACTAGAGACATTCAGAAAGAAACTGGACAGCCGTCTGAGTGGGATGGGGTACAGGATTGGACCCAATGGTTTTCTTGGCCCCTTCCAACTCTACTGTTCTATGATTCAATGAATTCTAATGGCACCAACAGTTTGTATGGAGGCAGGGTGATTCCTAAGCCAGTTCCTTATCCATGGCTTTACAGGAGCTATCCATGGGATTCTCCATGGCACTAAACCTAATTTAGAGATGGCGCACTATGGATGGTTCCTATAAAGCTCAGAAAAAAGCTGCCATGGATAAGTTGCCCCACTTCTCTTGCTTACATCCAGTTTCCCCCTTTATGACATCTAGGAATAAGAAAGCCTTCTGAAAGATGTGATGACAAAGGGAGTGAATTTAAGCCACAATCCTATATATATATCTAGACAGGACGGGGGGGAAGTCCTTCAGGTCCCATACTGGCTAGGGAGATGCCGAGATTTGAAAGGCTTTTCCTCTGCTAAAGATTCGTGGGATTGTGCCTTTATGTGCTTACCCAGTGCAAGGGAAAACCAATAATGTCCGGATGAACGGGGCGGGGGGGGGGGGCATTCGGGCGGGGAAACAGCGCTTTGTGGAGGAGATGCCCCCCCCGTCCGTCTCCCATCCGCGACCCGAATCTTCGGAGCTGTTGACAAGTTGGGGCCCCGATCCGCCTCGTCCAGCCCGGGACCCCGCTGGCCCGAGGAGAGAGCGCGTGGCAGGCGCCCTGGGCGGTCGGGCGGGCGCGCTGGCGGGGCCTCTTAGCCGGCCTGCGTCTTGCACTCCGGGCTGGGCCGGGCCGGGCCGGGCCGGGCCGAGCAGGCCACACCCTGACGGGGCTCTTTCCCCTCTCCGGGCGATGAATCACCCGCAGCCCGCTCGGCTCCGGATGAACCCTGCTCGCCCGAGCTTTCGCGCGCCTCTTGGCTGACGCGCGTTCGCCCAGAGACCAGCCTGCAGCCCGCGGCAGTCGGCAAAGGCGGCGGCTACCATGTCTGGGATCGCCGCGAAAGTAGCCAAAGACCGGGAGGTCGCCCAAGGGCTGGGCTCCAACGCCAAAGCCGTGAAGTACCTCAACCAGGACTTCCAGGCGCTGCGGGAGGAGTGCCTGGAGGCGGGCAAGCTGTTCCAGGACCCCTCTTTCCCCGCGGCCGCCTCTTCGCTGGGCTACAAGGAACTGGGACCAAACTCCTACAAAACTAAAGGCATCGTTTGGAAGAGACCGACGGTAGGCAGAACGGGCGGGCCCCTAGCGCGGGCCCCGGCCAGTGGTGGGAAGGGGCGCGCAAGGAGCGGGGCAAGCGCGGTTTCGGAGCTGAGCCGCTTTTTGTTTGGGCTGAGAGAGAAGGCACGAAGTTGCGTCTGTTTAACACAGAACGGGTTGCTGACGTGGGGAGAGAGCCCCCCCTCCCCCGCTTAGGAAATGTGGATTAACTTTCTCTTTATTTAAGGCAGTGGATTCCTGGGAAAAAAAAAAACACATTACTTCTCTCTCCACCCCACCCTATTATCTCGGCGAAGATGACACCGCAGCATTGCGTGCCTTTGCTTGGTCTTCGCGTCTGATCTCCCCTGCTTCTGTACCTTAGAAAGGAGCTATACTGGCCGTGTGGCCATCCAAGGGAAAGCCGGGAAGAAAAAAGTTGAAGTTCCACCACTCTAGAGCACTCCGTGCAGATTAGAAGTTGTGTGCTTTTGGCAATGTTTGTACGTCACCCAATAGCCAAGTTCTTTGGGCAGCTTTGTTATGAGTGGTCAAGTCATCTCTGACTTTATGAAGACCCTGGGAATAAATGCCCTCGCAAATGTGCAGCTTCACAGCCCTTGCTCTGCTCTTGTAAACCAGGGCAGGTTGAAAGAACAATAAAAGAGAAATTAACAGATATAGTGAGAACCCTACAAGCAGGAAGGTATAGGAAGCACTGGCTGTCATGTTTAGGTAAGTGGTTGTGCAAACAATTACAATCATCCCATAGGCTGCTAGAAGGGTTGTATGTGTTTTTATTGTGATGGAAGGGGGACTTCTAATTTGTGTTGCTGATTGTGCAGAGCATGGGAATGGTCATTATATTGGTGTAATCATTGCAAACTGAGCCAGAGCTTTTCCTGGAAGCAAAAATGGCAAAACTGAGGCTGTCATACTTTGGCCAAGTGACCAAAGTGACCCTGGAGAAGACTGTCATAAATAGGAAAAGTCAAAGGCAGAAGAAGAAAAGGAAGGACAAAGAAGAGATGGATTGACTCCATAAAGGAAGCTACAGCCTTGTTTTAGAACAGCTAAGCAGGGCTGGCATGGATAGGACATTTTGGAAGGTTTTCATTCATCAGGCTGACATAAGTCAGAGACAACTTAACAGCAATCGGTGCAGAGAACAAAGATGCACTGATCTTTGTAGCACAAGTTCTGGAAGAGTTGCAAAAAGGCTTATCTCCATCTAAGAGGTAGGGCAGGGTGGGGCTGGAAGCATAGTCACATCCTTCCAAGCAGACTCATGCAAAAGAGTGATGTGGCTCTTGCAAGACCTGAGAAACCACAGTACTTTCCAGAGAACCTATTTTCAACATTAAGAGATGCAGCATCAAAATGCTTTTGTCCTTCCTACAGGGAAATAAAGTTCATGAGCCTACAACTGGAAGCAGCAGTGAGCTGAGCATCCCATCTGCCCAAGACTGAGCATCTGCACATGGAAGGCATATCAAAATACTAATTCAGCGCAGAGCATCTGCTGTGCATGCAGAAGGTCCTATGTTTGATTCCAGAATCCCAAATAAGGAGGAAAAACTCCTGCCCATAACTTTGGAGGGCAACTGCCCTCTGGGATCAACACTGGGGACCAAGGGTCTGACTCTGTATAAGGCAACTTCCCAGTGTGATAGGCCCTGCAGATGTTTTGGATGAAAATCCTTATTAACTCGAGCCACCATAATGTGAGTTGTAGTCCAGAACATCTGGAAGGTGCTGTGATGGGGAAGACTGTACTAAGAGATTTAATCTGATCCATTGATCTGATTTATACAAACTCACATGTGTGAAACTTGGGCAAAGAAATTTGTAGGAATTTAGGAAATATGGGGAGTTTGAAAATACCAAGACACAAATAACAATTGAGATTAAATGAAGAAATAGCGATTTGATTCCTAAGTGTGGTAGAGTGCTGGACTCAGACTCAAAAGATCTGGGCTCTAGTTCCTGTTTGTCTATGAGGCTTATGGGGTGACTTTGGGCCAACTACTGAGGTAGGGCTAACCTACCTCACATGGTTGTTGTAGAGATAAAAGCTTGGCCTGCCTCACATGGTTGTTGTGACGATAAACTGGAGAGGAGGAGAACTGTTTCAAGTTTCTTGAAAGAGGGAAAAAGTGAGATAAAATATAATAATGGCAATAATTTCTACTTTACATGCATCATTGTTCAGCCTTTTCTACCAGGGTAAGTCCAGCACCATGTTGAGATGATGAGAGTTGTCTTCCAACCCATCTCGAGAGCACCAAATTGGAAAAAGCAAGACTACATGTTATACTTGCCAATGAAAACAACTTGTTTTGAGAAGGGTTGTTCATGAGAATTGATATCTTTTGTGTTGAGAGTCAAGGCTCTGATTGGATGATCTACACAGCTGCTGTCAGGAGACATCACTTTATGGTGATCACTGTGATAAAGTATTCCAAATGGGGCAAACACTGTTTTTGCTGGCATCCATATGGTGCAGCCCACAGATCTAGTCCTGGGTTGAGTCACATCCTGGGCTTCTAGCACTGACTTTAAATAGCTTGCTTCTATTCAACCAGTGGCGTAGGCACTCATATTTATGCATCAGACCTGCATTCCACAGCCTCTTCTGTCTTCAGGAGTAACAGTAGGTCACACGTCTCACATATAGCTTCAAGTTCTTCTGCTTTCTTCTTACATTCGTCCAGGGATGGAGAATGTGTGGTCCTCTAGATGTTGTTGGACTCCAGTTCCCATCAGTCCCAGCCATTATGACCAGTGGAAATCCAGAGTGCAGATGGTTTTCCACCCCTTCCAGTTAGGCCATAGCCCTGCACTCCACCATTTATTCCTGGCCTGCTCGGCTTTTCTTATTTTGGCATCCAGCTGTCGTCTTTCGTTGCACTTAGAGTGCAGTCCTGAGGATCACACCGTAGATAGAGGGAGGCTCTGTGTTTGCTCTGTGTTCAGAGCTCTTTGCATAAGCCAGGCAGGATGAGAGGAAATGCAGGCAATTTCATTGCCATCCCTCTGTTTACAATACAGAAGGGTCTCTGAAATAGTCTGCCTGGACATGGGATTCTTATGTACGTCCTCCCCTCCCCTCCCTTCCCCTCTCTTATTTACTCCTCTGAGTTCTTTTTGTAAGGGAAGCTTTTCAAGGTGGCTGGGAGGGAGGGCAGAAGAGAGAGGCTGCACATTTGGATCCCCTCCTCCATGATCTGTCCACAGGCACAGAGAAAGATGTACAGAGCATCTTGTGGAGCCCCTGTCTAGAGGCCGTAGGACTGTTCTTTGGCTGGCAAATTGCTTCCTCGGCATCCATTTAGTGACCCTACTTTGTAGGATGGATGCAGCTATTTACATGTGTGTCTCCTTTACTTACAAAGCAGGAAGCCCACGCCCCTTGTGATGCAGCTTCCTTCTCAGCAAAGAGAATCTTTTGGCTCAGCATCTGGGGCAGCTTTTAAACAGTGCAAAGAGCACATGGGAGAAACACACACACACATTCTTGAGAGCAGAAGCCAGCCAGACTGCAGAGTCCTGTCAAGATGCCCTTTGAAGCTCGAGGCAGCTGAGAAAAGTGGAGGCCTCTGTTTATTCAAGGCAGTGGACTGAAAGAGTCCATGAAAAGTTTCCTTTACTGCATGTTTTGCATAAGAGCCCAGTGCTGACATTACAGTTTGCTCAGTCAAGAAAATTCTGCATGAGTTTCAAATAGTTACAGAATGGACAGAAAAACAGTATCAGTTATTTTAAAGCTGCAAACAGGGAATAAGACCTTGCAGGTCCACAGCCAGTCCTTCTATTTCTGATGTTCAGGTGTGAGTCCAGTTGCCAATATGGGCCAAATGACAGCATCCCCACACAAAAGGGAAGTGTGGGTTTGTTTCTCAGGAGTACATGGGGGAAATAGGTGCGCACATTCTTGGGAGGAGAACAAGAGTTTTTGTAGTCTGTCTGTCTGCCTGTTTCCGTGTTTTTCAGAAGTACAAAAATCATGAATGAAAAAAATCTAGCTGGGGCGCACTACAGAAACAACCCAGTAAAGACTTTGTGTACTGAATAGTAGGCAGGAATGCTGACCATGGGAAAGAGTCGGAACAAAAAAGCAGGCAGGTAGGTGGGAGAGCTGAATGCAGCATCCTGGAGGAGCCACTGGACAGGTCACTGGAAAACTCAGTCTCTGCTCCTAGTGATATGCTTAATATCCACAGAGAGAAAGGGAAGGTAAAGACCCAGTGGAAACATTGGCATTTCTCCCTCCCCTTTGCTCCACCATTGTTTGTCACTGGAACAAATGGAGAGACACATTTCCTCTGCTGTCTTCATCCGCAAACTCATTCAAGGCACTTCTATAAAAATAATCCGGAATTCTAGAATAAGGATAGGATTAGGATGCAGCACAAGGTTCCATGAGCAATGGTTCCCCCCACCCCATCCTACACAGTCCGCTGACCTTCAAGATGTGTGGTTCAGAACAAGTCTTTGTAGGGTTGTAGAAGTTCTAATTTCTCTCTAGATTTCACAACTCTTACTGACATCTGGTGATGTGGCTTATGTCAGCTCAAGGGCCAAATTCCATTTCAGACAAGCTCTCTGCAACTGTATCCCAGTGGGCCCAAAGGCAAAAGGGGCAGGGCCAACATTTCCAAAATGACACACACATTTTAGCTTAAAGCTGTTACTGTCAGTATTTAAGCCTTAGGGGAGGGGTTGCAGCCTTTAGAATGGGGAAGAATCTGCACAAAAGCCTGGAAAAACACCAAGGGATTGTTGTTCTTGAGAAAGAAGGTACGGTTGGGAGAAAGGCTTGGGACTGGGGGAAGGGGAGACAGCCTTCTGGGGACCCCAGCAGGTCAGATTTGGTCCCTAGGCCACAAGTGCTGTGCCTCTGCTTTATATTTGATGCTGAGAGATGTGATCCAATGAGCCATTCATGCATCGATTCCAGGGTTACCATCATGAATTAATCTGGAATGCCCATATCTTTAAGTTAAACAACCTTTTTCTTTCTTCCTTTGCCAGGAATTGTGTTCCAATCCTCAGTTTATTGTTGGAGGCGCAACTCGGACAGATATTTGCCAAGGAGCTTTAGGTAAGACAGAGACTGCATATTTACCACCTTGATGGAAGCACCTTTAACACGATGTCTGCATTGCTTAAATACCCTAAGCTGATGTGTTCCTTCTTGTGCCAGATGTGCTCCTTATTGACAGCGGCCGTTAATGAAGTTGTCCTTGTCACGAGTTATTGCTATTGATTGTGGCTTTAGCCCATAATGCGTATGGACGTCCTTTCTGTGCTATTGTCACAGTGATAGTGAATTGCCCCTGTGGAGGGCCACCCACTCATCCCCCCCCCCCCCCCAAAAACCTTCAACAGTGTTCTTGCTTTGCTTGCAACTGTGCTGCACTGTCCTTAGCCATCCTCTTCCTTCCAAAATCTGACAGTGGCTTCAATTTGCAAACTGAGCATGTGCTCAGTGTTTCCCTGTGGTGAGGTAGGCAACCGGGGAGTATCTGCATGGAGCACCTTCAAGCAATGATTCCCCCCAACTTAAAGTAAGTAATTAGAGATTAATTAGAGATTAATTAATTAAATAATTAGTAATTAATTCTGCCTAAGCAGAAGGAGGAGGCACCATTAAGCTAGGCTGTTGCATGTCCCCACAGGGCACCCAGAACAACTGGGCAGCAATCAGGTGTGCAGTAATAAAAAGAACACCACAACGTATTCTGTAGCTGCCCAGCCACAGTAGGCCATCCTAGGAACTTGGCTGGTGGAGGCAGGGAGAGAAGAAAATGAGACTGAGTTTTGGGGGGTTTCATTATTTTTAAGAGGAGAGGAAGTGTGTGTGTGTGTGTGTGTGTGTGTGTGTAAGAGAGAGAACAAGTGTGAGAGATTGTGCATATGTGTGCATGTATCTATTTCCTTATTTCCAGGGGAGGCAACTGGTTTTTTCAGTGGAAATACTTATCCATCACAGCTTTTCTTTTTGGCCTTATAGGAACTATCTGTGGTGCTCCATGGTAGTGAGCCTATTTTGGCAATGCAGTTCAGCACCACGGACAGGGCCTTTAAAGGCCCTGTGAAGCTCAGAAGAAAAGCTGTAATGGATGAGGAGCCCCACCAACATAGAAGCAATCTTGCTTATTTCTTTTCTTGGTTGTGTCTGCTGAAAATTGAAGTCTTTAATTCTTTTCTTCTGTTGACCAGTAGCTTAGTATCTCTATGCTTGTATCTGAGTTCTCTGTCATGGACAATATACTATTCTTTTACTTTCAAGAAAGCATAGTAGATGATTTCCACTTGTACAGCTAATAAGTGTGTTTTGCACCCTGTTGATCCTGTGTGTATGTTTGCACAAATGTTGGGTGTGCGCTCAGCATTGGGTCAGAGGAGGCAACGCAGCACGCATGATCAGTCCTGGGGCCCATCATGACCTCAATCTGGCCCTGAGAATATCTCCATGGAGATCGCCATTACCAGCCGCACCATTGTCAGCTTGCATGGTTGTGTGAATTCTCTGCATCTGTCCTCACATGGCACAGTCATGATCTGAGAGACACTTGATTATCTGTGGAACTGAGAATGTGGCTTCAAAGCAATGCTTTGGTGAAGCTCTGTTGCTATTTTGCCTCTGGTGACCCCTGTGGGCTCTGTGTCCAGTGGCGTGTCCTCCATCCTACCCATCAAATGGGCCACCAGCTGCCACTATCCTGTATTAGAGAGAAATGCCTTCTTTTTTGAAGGATGAGAGACATTGTTATAATGGACAATAACTCCTTACATTGCAGCTTATCCTTTGGAAAAGCTTTTAATGTGTAGATCTGCACCTTGTATTGCTTTTTGCTTTAATATATTTATTAGCTTCATCTGTTGGAGTAAGAACTTTTAGCTTTTTGTAAGGTATATTGATTTCTTTTTTCCTTTTTAGCTGTGACAAATAAAACACAATTCATCTTGTACAGTACAATCCTATAAGCATCTACTCAGAAGTAAATCCTGCTGTGTTGAATTGGGCTTCCTCTGTAGTAGCTGTGTCAGGATCATGTTAGAATCTTTAATGCTTAGTTCAGGCCCATTTTATACCTGACTTTATTGAAGAAGCTGCCATAAGAAAGTAAGAACATGGGAAGAGACTTACCAGGTCAGAGTAAGTCCTTCATGGTGCAAAGGAGTACCCAAAAGTAGCTCTGGCAGATGTCTGGCCTGCTTGTTCTGTCTTGGGGAACCCTCGGATTCCATTTGTCCCCCATGCTATTAAACATCTACATGAAACCTTTGGGAGAAGACTTTCTGAGGTTTGGCCTAATGGAACATCAGAATGCAGATGAAATGCTGCTCAGTCTCTCTTTTATACCTGCTGGTGCCAGGCTGGCTGAGGTTGGCTTGGGAGTGGGTCCATCTGGATGGATGCTCGCAGCTCTGTTTTGATGGCATTGCATTCCCCCAAAAGACCATGTCCACTGCTGGGGGCTTCTCCTGGAATCACAGGTGGTGTTGGTGACTGAAAATGCCTTTTATGAGTTTAAGTTTGTTGGTTGTGAAAATATCTAGGGAAAGCAGAACTTGCCTCAGACATAAAAGCCTAAAATAGTAAAGTTGGAGAGGGGCTTAAGGCCTTTGGGTTCAGTCTCCTGCTCAATGCAGACTTCAAGTTAAAGCATCTCCTGGATAGCTGTCAATTTGCATCTTGAATACTTCTAACGGGAGAATGCACAAGCTCGCTGGGAAATTGGTTCTATTGCTGCATTGCTCTAGAAGTCAAGAAGCTTTTCCTCATGTTCAGCTCAATCTGTTCCTGTAAATTGAGCCTGATATTCCATATCCTGCACTCTGGGATGATTGGGAAGAGATTCCAATCCTCTGTGGAACAACCTTTCAGGTACTCAAAGAGTGTTATCGCAACTCCCCTCAGCCTTCTGTTCTAAAGGCTAAGCGTGCCTCATTTTTCCAGTCACTCCTCAAAGGGCTTTGCTTCCATTCCCCTGAATATCTTTGTTGCCCTTCTTTTCCAGTTTGCTCTGCTCTTTCTTAAACTTGATACCTAGAACTAGACAGGTACTCAACATGAGGCCTAACCAATGCTGAGTAGAGGGGAACTATTACATCATGTGATTTAGAAGTGATATTTCTTTTCATATGCAGCCCAAAATAGCATTTGCCTTTTTTACCAGCCTCATCACATAGTTGACTTATATTGTTGCGATCTACAAGAAGTCCAAGATCCCTCTTGCTTGTGGTATTGTTGAGTGAAGTATTGCCCATTTTGTAACGATGCATTTGTTTCCTTTTTCCTAGCTGCAGAATTTGGCTTTGTCTCTGTTAAATTTCATTCTGTTGCTTTCAGCACAGCTTTCCAGCCTTTTAAAATTACTCTGAATGCTCTTTTTGTCTTCCAAGGTTTTAGCCAATTTGGTGTCATCTGCAAATGCATTACAGTAATGAACTTGACTACTGCAATGCACACAGTTCAGAAACGTGAATTGGTATAGAATGCAGCTACTGGGCAAGAGGTGTGCAGCCCTTATATTATATTATATTATTAATAACTGCACCAGCTGCATTGACTCTCAGGCTCATTTTGAAGTGCTGACGCTGAGCTTTAAAACCTAAATTGTTAGACACCAAGCTGTTTGAAGGACCATCTGCACCCATACAAACCTCCCCAGGCCAGCCCCTGAGGCCCCGTTGATGGGAGTGGGGTTGAGGGGTCTGCATATATCTTCTGACAGAAGCCTTCTCTAAGGATTTTGGATGAATCAGCTTCATCAGAACGATAATTGCAAAAAGGCCCCTCTGATGGATGTGTGGAAATTCACAGATGCCTTTCTGTTCCAGCAGTTTTCCACATTCGTGGTTTTGCCACCTGTGAGCCAGGGAAGCTCTGAAGACCGTCTCTGTCTTCACGTAGTAGAAGCTTAGCTGCTCACCGGTCTTGCTGGATGAGAGCCAGTACACACTCTGTTTGCATGCTGGTTGATTCACCTCCTTGCCATGAATGCTGCACTTGATCAAATGCAGACATACACAAACACAAATCCCTTGAACCAAAAAGTCCATGGAAAAAGATGTTTGGTATTTTAAAATTTTAAAAAATGAGGCATTGTCAGTGTTACCTCTCTGTGATGTTACTTATGCACTGCTGAATCCCACTAGTGGGATGTATTGGCCTACAGCTTCCATCATCCCTGCCTTATCAGCCGTGCTGGCTGGGGCTTATGGGTGTTGTGGCACAAAACAAAAAGGCTGCCCCGGTGCATCAAAGCATCTAGAGATCTCTTGACATCCAAAACCTTGAGAGGTCAAGAGAATCCGAAGCAGTGGCTCACAGGGCAATCCAGTGTCTGCTCATCATCACTAAATGCTGGCTGGGAAGGGCGAGGAGGAGAGCGGGCACCTGTGGCTCGGTGGAAGATCACTCACAGGCTTTGCATGCGGAAGGCTCCATCAGTGGCATCTCCAGGTAGGGAAGGAACAACTCCTGCCTGGAGCCCTGGAGAGCCACTGCCAGGCGGGGCCGACTGGGCTGGGCCAGATGGACCGAGGGCCGGGCCTCCGTAGAAGGCAGCTTCTTGCGCTCCCATCCTGGCCATCCGTGCCGAGCCAGAGAAGGACAGGGGACCCAGCTCTTCCAGGGCAAGCTCACAGCGGTGCATGCCCCATGCTCAGAGGGGTGCGTGCGGCCGCGAGCCAGTGGCCACCTTGGCTTGTGCACCTGTACAACAGCGGCACCTGCACTGTGCGTGCTGCACCCTTCCTGTGTGGCTGCTGCTCAGCAGTCATTTTGCTAAGCAGAAAGCGACTGTTATCTTTCTTCACTTGCAACAGCAGGTGAAAGCTACCATTTGCATTCCTGCCTAAACTTGCTAAAAACAGTGATGATGTTTTTTTTTTTTTTGCCTCCCTTTTTCAGTTAGAAATTTCAGTTTTTCTAAGTGTTCTGCTCAGAAACACTATTTTGACACAAGACTTTCCTTCCCTTTTATCCTCTATATCAGGGATAAGAGTCACAGAATCATGGAATAGCTGGAAGGGGCCCAGAGGGCCACTGGGGCCAACCCCTGCTCAGTGCAGGACTCCAAGATAAACCATCCCTCTCGGATGGCTGTCCAGCTGCATCTTGAATGCTTCTAGTGTGGGAGAGCCTACAGCCTTGTACGGTTCTAACAATCAAGATTTTTTTTCTTGATATCTAGTCAAAATCTGACTTCCTGTAACTTGATCCTGTTTTTCCATGTTCTATACTCTGGAATGATCAAGAAGAGATCTTGTCCTTCCTTTTTGTGACAGCTCTTCAAGTACTTGAAGAGTCCTACCATATTTCCATTCAGTCTTCTCCAGGCTAAACAGTCCCTAGATCATCCTTGTTGCCCTCTTCCAAACCCTTTCCAGCTTGTCTGCATCTTTCTTAAACTGTGGTTACCCATAACTGGAACCAGTACTCCAGGTGAGGCCTAACCAGTGCTGAGTGAAGGGGACACAGGTTTGGAAGTGATACTTCTATTAATACAGCCTAAAATAGTGTTTGCCCTTTTTGCAGCCACATCCCATTGTTAACTCATGTTCAGCTTGTGATCTACAACAAGCCCAAGATCCTTCTCACCTGCAGTGTTGTTGAGCCAAGTGTCCCCCACATGCTCTTGTGTCGTGGGCACATTTGGCACTTTTGGAAACTGTCCTGGGTGCCATCATAAAACAGCTGCCATGGAAGGCATGGCGAAGGATAGGTAACTTTCCCAAAGGGCTGAGTAAAGGCATAGGGGAAATCCACGCCCGTATTCCCCAAACAGCGCTTCTGAACCTAGAAACCAATTTCAGTGATTCCAACTGCCAGTAAGAAAACGTGTTATTAATGTTTGTTTGCTTTAAAGTGGGAGGAGTAGGTCACCTTCGTGGGTCCCAAGACAAGTGCCCAAAAGTGGTTTCTGCACCCACTTTAATGCCACTACCCTCTTTCCTTTGCCAGTATACAAAGTAGGATTCAGCGATGAAACAGTGCAGCAGGAGGAAATCTTCTGATTACAGTAAACTCAGCGTTAGAAATTGAACAAGGAGCTGGCACTTCAAAGAAAACAAGAGATGGGTTTTAAGAAGCAAAATCAATGCAGACAATTGGCAAAGCTCAACCGGTTCCATCTGTACACATATTATACTGTTCCATTTTCAAGCCTTCAGGGGTGTGGGGTGGATGCATGTACTGCAGGCGATTAACTCCAGCCTCGCCGTCAAAAATGTTTCACTTGTTTGCAGGCTTAGCAAGTAAAATGGGATATCGTCCCAGCAGGGTGACACAGTAGGACGGAGGGATGCATGCATGAATTTTTATTAAGCATTTTTTTTCTGAGGAGGAGACATCTGCCACCAAAATCAGAGGGGAAGCACTGAACTACTTAAAGGTCATTGCTGTGATACCATGGCAACATCCTTTGAAAAATATATAAATATTGAACATGCTTCCTCTACGTGAAAACCATTGTTTCTTCTGCTACAATGACTCACTAGGCTGAGTGAGGCTTGCAGGCGTTTTTCACTGTGCAGCTATATAGCCATTATGGGCGTGTAACACACGTGTGTGCATAACTTCTAAAAAGTGGCTAAGGGCACGATCCTCTCACCCCTGCCATTGATGTATGTAAGCCTCTAAACCCACTGGGACTTGGGAGACCTGGGTTCAAGTGCCCCACTCAGCCATGAAGCACATTGGACGACTTTGGGCCAATCACAGATACTGAGCCTAGCCTACCTCATAGGGCTGTTGTTCTTGTGCAGACTAATGGAGAGCAGAAAAAAGTTGTAAGCCACCTTGGGTCCCTTGCAAGAGGAAGGATGGTAGGGTGGGCATACAATAAAGTAATGCAGTGATGTAAGTATCAGCTGTTGAGAAGATGCATGTGGAGGGGAGGTGGCGGGGGCTTTGTTTGGATACTACATATGCTGTTGACCCCAGTCTCCTTCCTCCATTCCCCCAGCACCTCCTCCCCTGTTCGCTGAGGCTGCAGTGAGAGGAGGTGGGATTTGGCCTTCAGAACCCTAGTGCTGAATTTTCAAAGCCTTGGGGTTGGACCCCAAATAAACCTGTGCACCCCCCACGGCAGTGACGTCAGGCGATTACAGTCCCATGCCCTAAATGGATAAATTAATTCATACGATCCAAAGAAAGAAACCAAGCTTTATTACCTCTGTAATGCAGGAAGCTTGGTAGAGCTTCAGCCTGTAAGCCACAAATGGGTTTGGTGAGCCTGCATTGCAAGGTAACTGCGCAAACCATAAAATCTGCAAAATAATATGAATAACAGTTTCTCCTTAAAAGGCATACAAAAAAGAAGAAAATCATGTTAAGCTTGAAATGCCTCATTACTGCAACTGAGTTTTCTCTGTAACATCACGACAGATGATTGACAAGTATTGCTCCGAAGTAGAAATGAGCTCCAAGAAGGCTGGAATCCACCTGCAAGGAAAGACAACACATTGTCTACGTGCCTGCATCTTGCAGTGTCTTGATCCTTGAGCTTGGTTTAGATAGCTATAACTCCAAGACTGCAATCCTACTATTCCTGGGTGGGTGTCCCAGGTGGGCTCTCCCCCTCTCTTTCTCCTCCTCCTCTCCCCCCACCACTTGATTATTGGTTTTGTTTTATTTTACTACCACCCTTCTACCATGAAAAGTGGGGCTCAGGGTGACTTCTAACCATGCAAGTGCCACCAGAGACCGCCTCGTCGTGGCAGTGAAAAGCTGCACCACTCGCTCTTCTGCAGTCGGTTGGCTGGCAGAAGGGGGGAAAGGTGTGTGTTGCGATGGATCTTATTCTCTCGCACTCTCAGGAAAGAGCAAGAAAGTATTCCAGCCCTGGAGCTCCTTCCCCCTAGTGTCACTGAGGGGAAGTTTTTAGAAGGAAGAACTGAAGTGGGGCAGGGCAGGGAGACGGCTGCTGCAGAACAGCCTCTCCCACCTGCTTCTCTGCACAGTGCACACTGGCAGGGTCAGGAAGCGGTTGCTCTGCCCGGCCTGAGAGTGACAGCCGCAGAATCGGAGGGGCTGACTCAGCTGGACAGGGTGGATTCCTGCTACAGCAGCCGTGGCACCTCTTCCTTGCAGTGCCGTGCCACAGAGTGTGCTGCTGCGATCATGGCTGGCTGGAGGAACCTCCATCCAGCCACGAAAGAGTGAGTTCCTCTCACAAAAGTATCCCCAGGGAAGGTGACGCTGTACCGAGAAGGAGGCACATTGATTTGCCTGGCCTCTGCGGATCCTCGGCCTGTTCCAGACATGGCCAGAGCAGTAGGAACTTGGACCTACGCAAAGGTACTAGCATGAACACACCCATCATGTTCGGACCTGCCCCTCTCTTGGCAAAGGGCTTGCTGAAGGAGAACATTGGCTCTTTGTTCAAGGAAAATTCAGTAGGACTCACACCTGTCATTGCAAGAACAAGAGCAAAAACGAAAGAAAATAAATGGACAATGATGCATCTTGGTTTGTGGCTGTGAAAGAAGGCCGGTCTTGTGGCATTAACTGGCTCTGGTGCAGCCTCTTCAAACCACGCCTTCTTGTCCTGAAGCACATTCCACACGTGGCACGAGGTATCGCTTGCATGACGGATGAGGACTACTTAGCAAACTGAAGAAACCTCTTGGCCCTGAGGGGCTGCACAGAGAAAGCGCAAGTCAGGTCCTCTGGTCCAGTATTCCAGCAGGGGTGTGAAGCAACACATGACTCTGGAGCGGGAAGAGTAAGGGAGAGGGAGAGCTGCAGAGATGTGAATCTGGCTGAGGCACTGCTGGCTGTATGACTGGGGCCGAAGGGTTCAGGGCGCTACAGCATGTTCAATGGGTGCTGGAATGCAAGGCTGTCTTCCGGAGGCATCTCCCCATTGGCTTCCTCTCTGTGCGGGAGGCACATGGACGCCATTGGCCATTCAGTCCTTGAAAGGTAGACGCCAATGGAGTTTCTGCTGGGAATGTATCCTCCCCTTTTACACCATTTTCAGATTTTGTGGTTGGGCGTTTTTGTCTTCCTCAGTGGAGCAGCCACCGGATGTAGCACCTGCTTTGCTTGTGTAGCAGTGCGTACTCTCCACCTGGCGTAATGATAGCATAAGATGTTCCTGGCAGACATTTACCCGGTTAACATCACTATAACCTGAAGAGCTTCTCTAAATGAGGCATTTATTCTGCACTTCTGATTTCTCACTCACAGAAAATTGCAAGGCATTTTCACAACATAGTCAACCTCCCAGGGCCCATCCCAGGTTTTTCAGCCATTTTTGTAGCGTTTTTTAGAGTGAGGAAAGTCTGGATGGCACCATGACTTGCCAGAGAGGCCTGGCCTTTGCCATTCTGCTGTATATCACAGTGCCAGCTTGTGTTGTGTAAAGGGACATATAGAAAGGTAGAGAGGAACACACACACACACCCCTCCATTTGGGAGACCTTGTATGAAGGACACATTTCTTCTGCCACAAAGAATACAGAAAAAGAAGACTCAGCAAAGCACCAGGTTATATGCCATGCCAAGAAAAGCCCTAAAAGAACCTGGTTTTTTCCCTTTTTGAATATTTTACAACATAGAGTCTAATGGGAAATGCTTTTGTTTTGTTTCCACAGGTGACTGTTGGCTCTTGGCAGCTATTGCTTCTCTCACTTTGAATAAAGAAATTTTGGCTAGAGTTGTTCCCAGTGATCAGAGCTTCCAGGACAAATACGCAGGAATCTTCCACTTCCAGGTACCACAGATTCAGACCTCCTGCCTGCTCTTGGCACTTGAATAGTGCTACACCTACCATATCAACCAATATTCCCATTTCCATATAGTACAGGGATGTATGACCAGAGATACAGAATTTGGAGAAAACGGAAAGCCATGGGTGGGGAAAATCCACTCCCATTGTCCAAATCAAAAATTGGTGGTTGTGGGGAATTGAAATAAATTCAGTCAGTACCATTCTAGGTTTCTGGGGGGTTCTTGGACATGACACCCTCAATGGGTCTCTGTCTTATGGGTACCCTTTCCCTCTTGACACCTTCAACTGGTGCAGACAGTGAGCTAGTCAGCAATTGGCAGTGGCTTCTCCTGCGGCATCTTTGTAATTTCGCTATTGTCTGGTCAGAGGAAGAAGCAGGCAAAGAAGCATGTGCAGTGGTGCTAAGGAGCGGCAAGTCCAAGCCATGGACCCCTGCAGGAGTGTGGATCCTTGGCTGGTGCCCAAGCATGTCTGCCTCTGACCCTGGATGCAATGCTTGGCTTTCTTAACAAACATCAAATAGCAGAAGAGGCCCACTGGATACCACCCTTGTATGAGGGGATGTGGCTCAGCGGTAGAGCAATGCCCTTGCACGCTGAAGGCCCTGGCTCACTCCCTGACGCCTCCAGGGACATCTGGGAAAAACCCTGCCTGAAGCCATGGAGAGCTGCTGCCACCGCCATTCAGTGCTGCCATATTGGATTAAGCAGCCAGTGACTCCACACAGGGCAGCCTCTGTTTTCCTTTTCCTCTCAAGAAGATGCCAGGACCCTGGCTAGACACGCCCAGCAAGCGGAACTTGCTTTCCGGACTCCTCGCTGGGTTGCAGGCTCTGCTATGACTATAGAAATGACATGTGAGGGACATTCTTTCTTGGGCAATATTTAGTACTGACAATGTGTAAGCCACTTCAGATATATCTTCGTATTTATAATATATATGTGCACACTCAAGCTTTTAAAAGCTGGTGACTGATTTATGGCCTAAAATAATTTTTGCTCTGCATGCATGCCTGGAGATAGTACTTTGTGCCACAAGTGAGCAGGCAAGAAGGTGTTAACCAGGGTCGGTTGTAGCTATTCATTAAGACATTTAGTGGCACATAAATAATACCTTTTATTAGAGGTCATCTTATCTGTCCAGTTGTCCTCTGGCAAACTCTTCAGATGTACATGACATGTTATGTCTCATCTCAGGCTAGATATCAGGAAAGGTTTCCTCTCTGTCAGAACAACACAACAGTGGAACCAGCTGCCTACAGAGGCTGTGGGCTCTCCCCCACTAGAGACTTTCACAAAGAAACTGGATGGCCATCTGAGTGGGACAGTGTAAATTGCTGTCCTGCAACAGCAAGGGGTTGGACCCAATCCCCTTCATGGCCCCTTCCAACTCTGCTCTTCCATGGTTCTATGAAATACCTGCTGAGCCCTCTAGATATCCAAATTTGCTTCAGAATCATGGATCAGCACCAACTATTTTCATCAAAAGCATAGCTGCAGTACATGTCATTAAACATTGCGTGGGTTGTTTTCTCTCTCTCTCTCTCAGTTCTGGCAGTATGGAGAGTGGATGAATGTGGTTGTTGATGACCGACTGCCTACCAAAAATGGAGAGCTCCTCTTTGTTCATTCAGCAGAGGGCAGTGAGTTCTGGAGCGCCTTGCTGGAGAAGGCCTATGCCAAGTAAGTGCAGCCATAACAATTCTTCTGCTTAATACGTACAAAGTGAATAAAGCTACTATCTTTCAACATTTAACTTATTTTCCCCAAATTAAAGCCAAAACTAGGGTAGGGTTAGGAAAGATGGAGGAATCTGCAAAGGATTAAAATGGGATTGGATTTTTGTGACTCCGACCTGCAGTTTCTGCTGCAGACCCCCTTTTTTGAGTTGTGTGATTTCCATGGACTTGAAAACCACTTTTTTGAATGAGGAGAGTTGCAAAAATGCACACTTGTGCTAATGGATATTAGCACAAATATATATTTGCAAATGGAAATAATTCCTGTCCAAAAAACCTGATTCTGTCAATGAGCAGAGGACAAAACAAACATGGCTGACAATCTGTGAAAAAAAGGCATGATGGATTTAGCAAAATTTGTACATCCATAGGTAGTAGTTAGAACAAGGGTGAGCCAACTTCAGGCCTTTGTGATCTACTTTGTCTTTCAACTAGATCCACTAGAAAGTGGATCCAAGGATCACAGGAAGGCAGTGCTGGCAATTACTTATTAGCAGGGAGGCTGACATCTGGCAGCCCTCTGGGGAATTACTTTTTTCTTCTTTAATCCTTACAGTGGCTGGGAGAGAAATGGATTTTCCCAGCTATAGTATACTGTTCTGCAGTCTAGTGCAAAATATTTTTGGGTGTCCTCGTCTTACATGTGTAATTAAGAGCCATTAGCTTTACAAAAAAAAAAATAGAGAGAGAGCTCTTAGCAGGAGTGAGAACTGGCTTGGGTCAACACAGCTGCCCGAACGTTTGGACGTTCCTTGTGGATATGACTATGGAGACTACCCCAGCTCAGAACTTACCAGCATTGCACGGCTCGGAATTCATTTCAGAATTTACTAGCATAGTACTGCTCAGGATTCATCGACTGGATTCTGGTGCAAAAGGCAGGCACTTCGAGTGCAATCCTGTGTTTGTTCAGACAGAACAGCTCCTGGCATTCACCAGCCAGCCATGCTAGCTGAGTGGTGCTGTGAGCTGAAGGACTTTGTTCTGTCTACACAGGGTTAAGAGTTGTGTATTTAGCATTAAATCTGCACCTAGGAATGTGCACTAGAATGGAACAGAGCTCTCAGTCCTTTCACACGTAAACTCTTTGCCAGTTGTATGGATGGATTCTTATTTATTTTTAAAATTTATTTAAAACATTTGTTTGCAACCTATTATGCCATAGCATATCTAAGCAGCTCACAATCAAATTAAAAACCATTATAGAAACTTTTCTGTCCGTCCATATGACTACATAAAGTCTCTAACCATTTATATGCAGACATTATGGCCTTGTTAATTCCTTAAAAAGGTAGGATGCAGAGATTATTAAAAAACAGGAAATTTATTTTAGAACTCAAATTGTTAAAATTATGATGAAACTTAAGTTATGGTTTTTGCCAAAAGATCTCAAAGACATAAATGTTCTGGATAATTATTGTATTACACAATGCCCATCATACAAGTATTTGGGTACGCATGTTTCAGAGGATCTGCCCTGAAAGGCACATAAACAGACTATAATCTTGTCTGCTTTTAGATTGCCAAAAGCTTGTTATACCAGTTGCTGTACCCAGTACTGAAAATATTTGAGCAGATCTTCACACAAATTCTATATGCTGCAGAAATTGGGGAGCTGGTTAAAGCAGACTTTCTGGAGTTATACAAAATAAATCTCTTAAGTCCATTCTAGCCCTCCTTCCTACCATTCCAGCAGCATTTCTTCACGCTGAAATGGGGCTGCCATCAATTTCTGTCAGAGTGAACAAGGCCATTTTCCTTTACCTGAAAAGATGGATGTCTTTGACCACCAGCTGCTTAGGCTTTGCTATCTTGAACAGAAACAAGGATTGTCAGACTTTTTCTTGTTTGGAAAAACTGGGCCATTTTTTTCTCTTTCATTTGCTACCTTTTCTCTAAGTGAGTCTGTGATTAAAACTAGAGACCAGTTATACTCAGAAGGTGCTGATAAAGATGTTGAATTTAGCAGGTAGTGCAGTCTTGACGAGGGTGAGCCATCTTTATCTTATCATCTTAATTCCTTGATTCACTCAGAACTGAGGAAGGTGCTTACAAAATCACTATTGCTGAATTTGTCTTCTACATATTTGTGCAGCATAAATTTTTTCCCTTATTTCAGGGCATTTGCACATGAGAACTCCACAAATAAAGGATATTAGATCTAGATCTGGATGTATAATAAACCGTGTATCAGCACCCCCAGAAAAGTTCCTGTAATTTTGCTAGAAGGAATGCCTGACAGAACTTTGGTGGAGGAGACATATAAGCTACTTGAAGAAGTATCTCCTGATGTAACTAATCAAGTTACCTCATTTGCAGTGGCTGCTAAAAAGATTAGAGCAAAGGTCCAAAAATATGTTGCTGTAGGTTGTGCACATGATAAACTTAATTGAGTAGCTTGTTCAACCTTTGACTCTGTTAAGATTCGTGACACAAACTCTTTTTCCTGCTGTGGCAAAATGGCAAAAGCCTAAATCAATTGAATGACTGACACTCCTGATTTGCACACCAGTGGATTTTTTTTTAAATTTCAGCAGTATTGTTTAGCCTAGGGGAGGAGTTGTTTGTTAAACAATGAGGAATCAGAAATCCTTGGGGATCGCCTGAAAATCATTTGGAAAGCTTCCAGTAGACTCTGAAACAAAGGAAATAAGATTTTATAACACAGGTTATTTCTGCATCTGCCACCTTGAATGTCTATTAGCCTTTTCACTTTTGGTTGCAACAGGATGAGGTTGGGTGTGGTTGAACCCAGTGCTTTTTTTGTAAGAAAAAAGGTGCCGGAACTCATGAAATTATTTACCTTTTGCATGTAGTCAATCACTGTACACACACCCACACACGTCAGTTGTGTAACAAAACATAACTGTCGCCGCATGCAGTAAGCGCTCAGGGCGCGACCACACGGCCAATCACAAGCCGAGCAGCGCCATCACAACCAGCGTGGATGAAGTATGCATGCATCGGATTCGACACACAAGCAGCCCGCATGCACCGATTTTGCTGCCTACCTGCTATACTCGACAGGGCGATTCAAATCCATGTGGACCAAACATCAATTTTTCAAAAGTTATTTTTAAAACTTGGAAAATCTGTCTAAAAAAGGTGTCAGAACTCGGTTCCGGTGTGTTCTGTGACAAAAAAGAACTTGTTGAACCAAAGAATAAAAGAAGGCGAGGAATGTTAGGGTGCAACGAGATGCTGGATAATCGCACAGAACCTGCCATTGCTGTTGATCCATGAAAAGGAACCACCATTGTTCTTCTGACACCAACAGTTGCTGAGGCGATGGGCTCACGCTATTTTAGGGCTGTGGTGCTTTTCCCCCAAATGCTCTTTTCTGATTAAAATTCTTCCTGAAGTTATATAGCCAGTGCAGCAAAAAGAAATTGAGGGGTGGGGGTTCATTTTAATTGAGAAGGTATCAGAGTGGCTACCAAATACCTACACACACATGGTACACGTCTCCCACATCTTGTTTGGCTCTTTCCACCCAAGTGCACATGTGAACTGATCCATGGCTCCCTGATTTCACTGATTTTCCACTGCCTCTGCAGAGGATGACTACCGGAACACATCTATGTCACATCATATGGATGCAGATAAACAGAATTTGTTTAATTAGTTATTAGTTTCTACATTTATATCCCCCCTTTATTCCTTTCAAGGAACTCAAGGTGGCTTCTATAATTCTCCTCCTCTTCTCTTATCCTCACAACAACCCTGTGAGGCAGGCTGGGCTGAGAGTCAGTGACTGGTCCAAAGTCACCCAGTGAGCTCCATGGCTGAGTGGGGACTAGAACTCAGTTCTCCCTGTCCTGTACTCTTAATCACTACCCCACACTGGCTCTCACCCCAAACTAACTTGCCCTTCTACATGATCCTTCCTGAACACTGAGAGCGTTTTAGGACCCTTGCTATGGGACTCTCTGTCATCTGAAATGAGGCAGAAGGCTGGGGGGGGGGGGGCTTCTTTGTGGCCCAGTTATGGTAGGGTCTCCACACAGGCTTGCCTGGAACCGCCTCTGATTTCTTTTTATTTTCCTGGACCTTTTAATACATGTTAGCCATTGTTTTGGTTTTGGTTTCCTTTCCAAGTGATATCAAGGCCGTGTGCCACAATTCAGTGCTCCTGATGATCATGATAATACCATATTGAAACAATGAGGTGACACTGCTCACCATTTAAAAGGCCATGATGAAGTAAAATGGGGAGAGGTCTCCTGCTGTCTTTGGGCTTTCCATGCACAAAGAAGAAATGGCAGGCACTGAAAAGCAGGGACCTTCCTTTACTGCGCTTGGATTTCAGGACCAAGAGGAGTGAAATATTAAATGTTGTGGTTGCATCTTCTGTAGGGTGAATGGTTCATATGAGGCACTTTCTGGGGGAAGCACCACTGAGGGGTTTGAGGATTTCACCGGTGGAATCGCAGAGTGGTACGAGCTGAAAAAAGCACCAACAAACCTGTTCAGAATCATCGAGAAAGCTCTTCAAAAAGGCTCTCTCCTTGGATGCTCCATTGATGTAAGTGTAGTGTCATTTGTTAGCCTTCTGTCGATCTTTGGAATGCAGAGTAGTTGAGAGCTTGCAAAAGTTGGGAGAGGGAATTGCAGAGTTACAGCTCTCCAGCTAGTACAGGATTGTTCCCCATGCAGAAGAATGACTAATACAGCTTTGAATTAGATCCTGGGTGGAGCACTTGTCACCCTCCAGACATTTTGGCCAACAATTCCCATCAGCCCTAGCCAGTGCAACCAATGGTGAGGAATCTTGAAGGTTGGATGTTGTTAGTAATTTTTAATTTCCTGGTGAGGTTAGGTTTAGCTTCTTGTGCCAGTGGAAAGATGCAGGCAGGAATCACTGGGTTGTGTGCTTTAAATCACACCCAGCTGTGTGCAGAAAACTTGCAAGGCCGCTGGTATAGTTTCACACCAAGCATGGAATTCACCCTGAGCATTTCCCCTTCCAGCCCAGCACCCCATCCAATATACAACTCTGGCTTTGGACTCTCTCGATTTGGGCAGATTAAGCTTTGCAAATTTGCAACAACAAAAACATTACAGATAATGGATGTCTAAAGGAGAGCATTGCTCAAATCCATCCCTCTTAGTGCTACAAGACTTGATCCTTGCAGTTGTATGAATGTCAGGCTTGAAACAGATAAATTGGCACCTCTCCAGCATGGTAGCTTTAAGGGAAAAAATATCCGTTGGATAGGGAATCCCTGTAACCAGTAGCGGCATCTCCCAGTTTTGGAACTCCCTGCTGAAGGAGGCGGTCTGCTGCCCCTTCGTTGTCCTCCCACTGGAAGGCTAAGTCCATTTTTCTTAGTAAAAAGGATGGTTGCAAACAACATTAGACATAAATGAATGAATAAAAGGCAAACGCCCCGGCAAGAAGAGCTTCAGCTGCAGTATAAATGGGTTTGCAAAGCATCTCATGACTAGCATCTCATGAAATAACATATTTTGAAAGGAATGTGCCTGCCCAAGGACAGGAACTGAAAGCCAAAAATGCAAATCATGACAAGATGAACCATATTTGGAAGAAACAAAATACAGGATAAATATTTCAGCATGGTAGCAGGGCCTGAGGCATTGTTTTAATTCTTTTCAGAAAGGGGAGGTCCAAGTTGTTTAGAATTCGTTTTACAGAATAACAATAGAAACATTTCCAACTTAGTGTGACACAAACCAGGGCAAATGCCACTGACTGGAAAGAAATGTGTCCCAGCTTTCTTACAGCAGGTTTGTGGAGAAGTTTCTGCCTACTCTGGCTTCTCCTCTAAGCCCTTACAGGAAAAATCCCTGCATCTGCAACTGAAATTTTCTCAGCATTGTGTCCCCCACATCCTGATGACCTGATTCAGTCTCTATGATGACTGAATTCTGCAGTTCCTTTACAGACCTTCTGTGTCGACCCCCCACCATAATTTATGCACCACGGTATGGCAGGAGTGTGCAACCTGTGGCCTGTGGGACAAATGTCCCCCACAGGTGTATTTGTGACCCTGTTGGATCCCATGCTGCCTTTCCCATGATGGCAGGGACCCACCGATCATGCTGGGAAAGAAGAGGTGCTCTCTCTACTAAGAGGCCCTGCCTCCTAGTGGGACCCCTAGGAATTGGGCCCTGTGGTCCTTCCGAGAAGTGCAGCCTTGGTGGAGACAGTAATGTATCCCAACAAGCCACCAAAGCTGCCCAGCCCTGCCCTATAGGAAATCATGGAATTGTTGAGGTAGCGTAATAGGCACTGCCCTGTCCTGACCAATGGTCCTTCTTTCTGGTTTTGCACCAAAGTCCCAATCCAGCAAGTATACTAGTGTCCTTACCTAGCAGATAGGCAGCATTTGTTTGATTTGCATTTTAGTGCAAAGCAACCTCATTTGGACTTCTGGGACCAGTTCCTGGTCAGAAATGAGGTTATTGTTCAGTATTTGTGCTTCTCTGAATGTTGCATTGCATTGCAGTGCAGAAATGCACGTACAGAGTAGCATGTGCATAAAAATGTGTTGCGCATGAGGAAATTACTTGGGGGGAAGTGTGCATATTAGAGGAAATCGGATGCAAAAAGTGCAGTGCTGAAGCCTCCTTTCTGCATTACCTGCTCACTTGCCACTTCCTTCTCCTGACAAGCTAAGGCAGGAATGCAGAAGCTCTTTCAGCTCTGAGCACCACGTTCCATTTTGGAAAACTCTGGAAAGCTGCGTAACACAGGTGGGCAGGGCCAAAGGCAAGAGGAGTCAATGGCGCTCGCTCTCGCTCTCGCTCTCGCTCTCTCTCTCTCTCTCTCTCTCTCTCTCTCTCTCGCTATATGTATATGTGTGTGTGTGTGCGTGTGTGCACCATCCTAGCTTAAAGCTTTTGTGGCTAGTGACTCATCTTAGGAGAGGAGTTTCCCCTTTCAGAAAGCTGGGGGGGGGGTGCGCAACAGCCAGGAAACCACAGCAGGAGCAAGGGTTGGAAGAAAGGAGGTGGGGCCAGAGGAAGGAGGCGTGGCTATCTGCACATCTCCCTGGTAAAGCAGAAAGCCTTGACTGCATCAGAGGTGCACCCAGTCAATTAGACTGGCACCTAACTGAGCTGTTGTTGTTGCAGCTTTGTTCCGTGCATGGCACTAGCACACACCCCGAAGTACTGATTGGCTGGGAAGCTTTTGGCCTTGACATTCAAAGCTATTCTTCCTTGTCCTGTTCTCAGTGGGTGAAGAAAATAGTTCCCTTCCTCGTTTTGACAGCTTGTCCCCTCTAACCCTTTTTCTCCATGGCTGAGCATGCCTTGCTCCCTGAGATCTTTCTTTGTGCTTTGTCTTCAAGCCCATCCATCTCTCTCGTGTCTTCTGTCTGGAAATACCCTTGAGAGTATCAGAAGCTGCCTTGGATAGAGGCAGGCCCTTGGGCCATCCTGCCCGGGATTCTCTGGCAGCTACTCTCCAGGGTTTCTGGTTCAGCCTCGAAGTTGCCAGGCAATCAACTAGTATTATTATGGATTATTTTATTTTGATACCACCCAATAGCTGAAGCTTTGTGGGTAGTATGCAACAATTCATAACAATTGAAAATTGAAATGTGCATTGAAAATTATTGGATTCATAAACAAAATTATTGTTTCAAACATCGCAATATTTCACTAGAGATTGACAGCCATATTTTAAATGAACTAAGACAGGTTCATGCAACTAGGCTTTTTAAAGCAGCTGGTATAACTCCACCCCATGGCCTGTTTAAAACTCTTAAACCCTGGCAGAGAGGGTGGTCTTAGCCCCAAAAAGATAGTAGGGCTAGCACCAGGCAGACCCCAATGAGAACATTAATCCATCGAGGGCTTCTCCTATTATGTGCATGGCACATGAGCTCCGGTGTGGTGACGCTCAGCATCATAACCAAGGGCAACCTCGTGTCCTCTGGACATTTTTGACTACAGATGCTATCAGTTCCTGCCAACACAGCGACTATGGGGGCTGTGTTACAAAACATCTGGTGAGCACCTGCTTGCTTACCACTGCTATAATGCTTGGAGAGAAAAATAGTGATTGAACTTGGCACTCTGTAGATGTCCTCACTGCAGGGAGAATACATACCGTTAAAAGCACTCCCTTCATTGTAGCCATCAACGAGAACTAGCCTGCTGGGGTAATTTCCAAACTTCCTTTCTTTTCTCTTGCCTGCCTTTGAACCTCCACGTGCGGCTAAGGATTTGTTCTGGCATCTCAGATGTGCTTATTTCATTGACTGATATGCCCACCTTTCTGCTAAAAGTAGTGATTGAGTTAGAAAGCAATAATAAAATGACAGGTAAAATGCAAGATAATTAAAGCACAAGCCAATCACTTAAGGCACGTCAGTGAAAACATGATTCAAAACAAAGAATGAAACAGCACTCGGCAGTAAAAATTTAATTTTGACAACAAGAAAGCTTAACAGCCCGGAGTGCCAGATTAAAACTGCCTTTGCCAGCCAGCAGAAGGAGAACAGTAGTGCAGGATTCCAGCCATGCCTTGTTGCAGGATAAGTGCAGTCAGAAGCACACCAAACAGTTCCATGCAGCCATGTCTGTCAGCCTTGAGTGAGCTTCTCCTTGCAGAAGCTAGTCCACCACATTAAGGGATAAGCTAGTAAGCTCTGCAAACAACTGTCGGGGTTTTCAGGACACAGTCGAAAATGACTGCTGTAGTGAACTGCAGTGAACTCCTAGCAGCAAAAACAAGGGCAGCCATAAGCAAAATTGCACATTTTGCATAAGGGAGTAACTTTATTAGGCTAACTCAAAAATAACCAAAACCATGCAAACTTTCATGCTCTCCAGGTGTCTTCATCAGGCAAGGTACTATAAAAGGCACATTGGGATTGTGGAGGAATGGCAATGCAGGGAAGAACTAACTGGTCAGGATGTTTTAGCAGGAAGTTTAAGATTATGCTACAAGATTCTAGCCACCTGAGGAATTATCTAGTTACTGTCAGTAATCAACATCTGCCCCTTCCTTGATGAAAAGTGCAACGCAAAAACACGCATGCATGCTATATCCGAAAAAGGTCATTCAGTGAAAGAAACAACGTTACCTATGGAATTTTAGATTGCTGAGAACAGAAGGGCTGTGCTGAATTAGGCCAGAGGCCCATCTAGTCCCCTCCAGTAGCCAACCAGAAGCCCACAAGCAGCACGTGAGCAGAATTATAGCAACCCTCCTGGTCCTGCTGTACCGCAACAGAATGGCTCCAAGATGGGATGTATCATGCAGCCATCATGCCTGGCCCTTGATCACCTTGCTCACTCTGTACTTAAACTGTAACAGGTATAGTTCAGGTATGATATCACAGGATCACAGAATAGTAGAGCTGGAAGGGGCCAAGAGGGACATTGGCTCCAACCTCCTGCTCAGTGCAGGACTCCTCCCAGTTCAAGCATCCCTCTCAGAGCGCTGTCCAGCTGCATCTTGGATGCCTCTTGTGTGGAAGAGCCCACCACCTCCCTAGGTCATGGGTTCCATTCTTGTACTGCTCTAACAGTCAGGACAGTTTCCTTGATATCTAGCCAGAATCTGGCTTCCTGTAACTTGAGCCTGTTGTTCTGTCTCCTGCACTCAGGGATGATCCAGAAGAGATCCTGGCCTTCCTCTTTGTGATAGCCTTTCAAGTACTTAAAGAATGCTGTCATATCTCCGCTCAGTCCTGTCTGCTGCAGGCTAAACATGCCCATTTCTTTCACTCTCTCCTCATGGGGCTTTATTCCCCGTCCACGGATCATCCTTGTTGCCCTCCTCTGAACTGGGTTTTATATTACTCTCTTCCTAGCTTTAGCAGAGGCGAAGTACCACTGATTTTTCTTTGTGTTTGCAGATCACAAGTGCTGCTGAGACAGAGGCAGTCACAACCCAGAAGCTGGTCAAAGGGCATGCATACTCTGTAACAGGTGCAGAGGAGGTAACTGCTCCACAATGGGAAAGGGGAAAATGTTGTGCACTGAGGATATGAGATCACGGCCAATCAGGTTTCTTTCCCGTGCTGTTTTGTTGGTGGGATCTCCCCTGAAATATTTGACTGTGCTGCCCTCTGGTGGCCATGCCATCTCACAACAGACAATTGCCTCGTCGTGTTCTTATACAAAGCTGAGGAACGCTGTGGCCTGCATCACACACGACCAGTGAGTGGACGCCCTACGTGCTTAGCATGTGTTTTGCATGGAACACTATAATACATAAGCAGGGCACAGGCATCATGGAGAATTGCAGTTGCCCCCAGCTTTCCACAGGGAGCTTCCTATTGTGATTGTAATGAATGCACGCACCTTTGAAAGCTGCCAGGTGCTCTGTATTTCTCTAGCTTGCAGAAGAGTTCTCAAAACGCTAGAAATAGTTTCCACATCTGAAGCAGTTGCTCAGTTCTCGCCAAGTATCTCTTGCATGAAGGGCTCTGCTATCTTGAAGCAAGTGCCAGCAAGGAGGGGGCATTTCGTTCCGCGCCACTGCCCTGTGCCCAGCCATCCACTGGGTGCAGTTGTTTGCCAAGGAGAGGTACAGATGTGCCGGGGCACAAAAGAGCCACTTGTGTGTCACGCCTTTCGCAAACAACTGCGCGCAGGGGCGCACAAGATGCCGGAGTGGGGCGAAAAGCACAGCCCTGTTTCTCGCTCAGCACTGCAAAACCCTTCACATGAGTAAAGCATGAAAGGGGCTTTTGTGTGTGCTGCATAGCATGGCCTTTGTCTGGCAGAGGTTTGTTTTGTAAATTGTGACAAACAAGTTGCTGGCAGAGAGGGCAGAGAAATTTGAGGTGTTTCTTGCTTGACATGAATTTAGAGCTGGGCGAGGCAACATGCAGGTCCCTCTCCTGCCCCCTCTTTGCAGCGCCTGCTGCTGCGCCACACTGAATTCATTGCTCAAATGTTCCTCTGTGGCAGCAGAACTGTGGGCTTTCCATCACCACCATGAGCCAAATCTCAGGGGCAAATCTGGTGTTGACGAGAGGCATGGCTTTCGGGGGGTTCTAGAAGAGGAACTGGCCCCAGAAAGTCACCCCCCCCCATTTTAGAGGGCTGGAGTCCAATCTGGCTGTGTTGCTTCACATCAGTGCATGCCTACAGCACAGATTTGTGGGCTGCTTCCACCTTCCTGGCTCTCCTCTGCTCTGCGTGGCTTTCGCAGGAGCAGCATGGCTGGCGTTGCCTGGTGGATGTGGCCTGTGCAATCCCACAGAGGTCCATCGGGACATTTCTAGGTGTGCAGACTAACTAGAGGAACATGTATGAACCACAGCTGCTTAGACAGTGGTCTGTATATATGAACATCTGATGCTGTGTGTATCTGAACCTCCATCGCTGTTCTCTATCAGCTCAATTCTCTCCTGAAAAAGAGAGATCAAAACTTTTGGACAGGGTCTAACTGGTCACCTGAAGCATCACTGGTATAGCCAAATAGGAAGTAAGAAAAACAAGCACCTATAAAGCCAGGGACCTCTCTGCTCACCTCACTGAGCTTTGGAAGATGTGCAGCGAAATTACACTGAATGCATCCCTGCCCTTCTGATTGAAACGTTCAAAGCTGAGTCCTTGGCAGGCTGTGTCTAAGCTGAGCAGGATAATGAGCAATTGGCAGACTTCTGATTGCAGCTGGCCTTGGTTATTCGGGGTCTAACATTTCCCAGAGTAAACAGTCCGGTGGAGGACACTGTTCCAATTGAGAACTGACCTGTTTTCCCCCAGGCTGTAAGCAAGAGCCTCTTTTATTCTAGCCCACAAACCAAGGACAACCACTGACCTTTAGAGTTGTTGTCTCAGGAACTGCCCCTGTGCATGTGATGCACAGAGGTCGCTGCCATTTTTTAAGTTCTCCTCACAACAGTCCTATGAGTTAGGTCAGTGCTAGTTTCATTTTACATGATAAGGTCTGAGACTGTGGGAGAACAAGTTGGCGAAGATGATCCTGCAAGTCCTCATGCTGGAGCAGTGACGTTCGCTCAGGTCCCAGTGTAATATGGTCCTTGCATACCACACCAGCTCTGCTTTTGGAGCCCCTCACAGAAGCTGGCGAGGAACTTTTCATTCATAACCCATGTGTCAGGGCACACTGCCTTCACAAAGTGGTTTACAAGGCTAAGCCACATAACAGTTGAAAATGCCATGACCACAGTATTAACATTTCAAACTGTAACTTTAAAAAAGCCATTCCCACGGGGCTGGAATGTTTCCACATCCTCAGCAGCCAAAATTGGTTCTGCCACTGGGAAGCATTTCCCCTTTCACTGGGATTGTACGTTTGAAGGGCACCCAACACTGTAGTCCTTTAATGCCTGCCCAGAAGTAAGCCTTGGTATTAAATGAGCCTAATTCCCTGGTAAGTGTGACTGGCTGGAGCATGCTGGATGCCGGATGACATTTTTCTGTGCAAATATGTACAGGATTGTGCCCTCTGGCACTTACATTCCTCCCCCTGCTCTTTCAGGAACACCAGTCACTGCTCAAGACAAAGATAAGCAATAGTGGCAAAATAGTCTAAAACATCATTTTTATTGTTATTTTGGTGTAATTTGACTAATGGGTTGATTTTTAAGAATTTTACTCCGTGGAAATTATGGTGCACTCAACAGAGATCTTGATGCAAAACATGAAACAAGCAAACAAAAGCAAATAACAGCACAAGCCTGCTCAATATCTGTGCAAAGGGTCCCCACATTTTGGGGTCAGTGGACACATTTAGAATGTCGAGAGGATTATGGATGCTAACACAAAACGGCTACCATGGTTTGTTGCAAAATACTGTTTTCCAAAAGTGAAGCCAGTGAGATTAAAAGCAGATTTATTTTCCCTAGGATGTAAGTAAAAGGCAGAGGTGGGAGCATGAGTCTGAGCTTCAAACCCTAATTTTTAAAGATCCCTTTGCACACAAATGAAGATCATGGCTGAATGGCATCCCTTCACTTTTCGGCATGCTCCCTGTTAAAGTTTTAATTTTTTTTAACTCTTGAGAAATAACATTAAAAAATAAGGAGGGATAGGGACCTCATCAGCAGGAAGAAAGGTATCCATAGGCATGCTGCTTGTACCCACAAATACCATGCTGCTTGTACCCACAAATACCCACAAGACCCCAAAGGCACTCCACTTTTCTAAGAGGAAAGGGAATCCTTTAAAAGCCCCTCTTTCTCTGATTTCCAGAGAACTTCAACTGATAGTAATTTGATTTTTTTTTTTTTTTCTGATCCTACCAGGTGAATTTCCGAGGCAGCATGGAGAAGTTGATCAGAATCCGAAACCCCTGGGGTGAAGTGGAGTGGACAGGAAAATGGAGTGACAAGTGAGTTTCACGCCTGGAGCCAACACAGTTGAGCAAAACATCTAGCATAAGTATTGCACAGCGAGTGACTGAATTTTAAACTGCTGCTGGTGCCACAGCTCCCTTAAAGCCTGTTTGGCAACTTTAGGGCCTGAGTCAGCACGTGTGCCTTCAAACATTTTAATGAGAATTTGGAATCCTCTTTGTGCTTCAGCAAAGCGTCTTGCCACAGTTCACAGGTTATGCTTTTCCAGCACTACCCATTTTGCACCCCACCTTTGCACCAAGAAAAGTGGTACTCAAGGCAGTTCTGATTGTCATCATACCTACCCAATTGCCTGTTTCCAGGCATCACCGTACGGTCTTGCAACTACCCTTAGATGCAGGTCAGCCGCCATGGAGCTGGTTATGGTCTTGCAGCGCCACAGCCTTGCCAGCCACTCTCCAGGGCTTCCAGCCTGGATTACAAGTCGCCAGGGATTGAATCTGAGGCGGTCTGCCTGCCAAGCAGGGGCACTGCCACAGAGCCACAGCCGCCGGGCATAGTTTTGGACTCATTCACGAACAAACTCAGACTGGTTGTGCCAGATTTACGCTTTCCCAAACCAGTTGTCATAATTTATCAAGACCTTTCTAACTGCATCCATCACAGTGCAGGAGGAACAAATTGTAGTCATTATCATCCTCTAGAGTCACCCTCAACTCCCTGGGCCAGGCATGGACAACTGTTGGTCCCCCCAGTTGTTCTTAGACATCAGCCCTAACCAGAAGTAGTAAGGGATAGTTGCAAATTGCAAACCAACCACATCCGGCAGTCTACAAGTTGCCCATCGCTGCACTAAGTTCTGGGGCTTTCCTCAGTTGGGGTGCATTAGGATCTAGTCCAGGGAAGCAGAACCTCTTTTAGTCTAAGGGTTGGTTTCCATTCTGAAGACAAGCTTGAGGTCCCTGTTCTGGGCTGGGAAGGTCTGGAGGCAAAAGGGAGCAGGAATGAAAGTTTAGCTTCAGTCTCTTCCCGCCAATGACTTAAGCAGGGTGCGTCAAGATTTTTTAAAAGGTGGGGTGGGAACCTGCAGAAAACCTGAGAAGCCACCAAATCATAGGAGGTTGGAGAAAGGGGTGTAGCCTTTTAGGAAATCCCGCAGAGCTGGACTTGGATTGCAGACTGGCCCTCTGTCCTACGTGTCTGCACACTAGTCTAGCTAGGATGCTACAAAATGTTGCTGTAAGGGAAGCTTCAGCTAATTTGTTTGCTTGTTTGTTTGTTTTAGTTGTTCAAATTGGAATAATGTTGATCCAAAAGTGAGAGACAGATTAACCAGGAAACATGAAGATGGAGAATTTTGGTAAGAAGAGTTTATCAAATGGAGAGGAAGGTGCTACTACTCAATAATAAAGCTGATATTCATGTGATCATCAGCCATAACATAGATATGTGGCACATGTTGTGATGGAAATAAGCACAGAACTATATTGAACGTATATGGCCAATCAAATTTTTCTCTCCCAGAAAGTGTTTTGCTGGTCATTAGAATTTTAAATGAATCATCTGGGAGAGAAAAAAATGATTGGCTGTGAGTTTTGTTTTGCTTTGTTTTAGAAAAAGCACTTTTGCTCTGCCAAGGACATGCGTGCCAGCTGAGGCTGCAGCTTGCCAACGCAGCTTGCCAACCGGAGGCTGGTAGGGATAAGTGAGGAATTTGCTCCATGGAGGCTTTTTAAAGTGTATTTTCTCACTTCTCACCTGCTGGACCTAAACGCATCTTAGACAATGTATCTCCTTTTGTGCAATGTGCAAAGAAAAAGGCATGATTTCCAACATGAACAGAAACATGGTTTAGTCATTGGATGTACATGCACTCCAAAATGCCTACATTTTAAAATGAACATAAAAATAAGCATATTTCTCTATACATTATGAGGGATATATGCACATTTTCATGGGGATTTTCAATTTTCACTTTTTAAATTACAATCTTACATGACAAAGAGACAGAATGAGCTTGGCCTTGGTAAAGAACACTTGAGTGGGGAAAGTCCAACAGCTTTTCCAAGGCTAAAATTGAGTGATCATTCCATCCCCAAAGCTGGTGATTGTTCTTGGATTAATTCTGCTTGGTTTAATTGATGCTGGAGCAGCTGCTAGGAAGAAACATGTCATCCTTTCTGTGTGTATTTATATATCATGGAATTCCTCCATAGGATGGCTTTTAATGACTTCCTGAGGCATTATTCCCGCCTTGAGATCTGTAACTTGACTCCGGACACTCTGGTCAGTGACAGATATAAGAAGTGGAGCCTGAATTTGATGGATGGCAGCTGGAGAAGAGGTTCCACTGCTGGTGGATGCAGAAATTACCCTGGTATGTCTTTCTTTAGTCACACTTGCTTTCACTGTCACCTTCTTAACAGCAGTCAAACAGAACTAGATAAGAGCCTGTCCCATCAGAACTACATTCAGTATTGGGGACTTTTGAAGCATATCTTCCAAATCTCCTTTTTTGCTCATAGGCATTTAAAAGGTGACTGAAGTGCTGCTTTCCCCACCTGGGTACCCTCCAGATGTTTCAGACCAACTCCCACCAGCTCCAGGCAGCCTGGCCAATGGTGAGCAAGGCTGGAAGTTGTGGACCAAAGCATCTGAAAGGCACAAGAGTAGAAAACTACTGTATTGTGTCACAACTGTTCAAGTTCCTGGAAATTTCCTGGAAAGCATGGTTTAGTTTACTGAAAGTCACCTTAGTTTTCTCTGATTGGCATCTCTAGTCTTTTCCACATCAAAACGTCAAAAGATCTACCAGGTACCTCCTGTATTTCACCTTGCTCAAGATAGGTCCTTGAGTTTTGATCCTGATGTCTTACAAAGGCCCAGGCCTGTCACTTAAGCCTTGGTCAAAAACTGGCCACTGTTTCTGACCCATTCAGGGACTTGGTTTATAACTGGCAACATTTATAACCTGACCCAACTGGAATGCGAAGGTTCTGAAAGGAACTACAGGGACCCAACTTTGGCACTGAAGCCCACCTTTTACTCTCTCTTTAGTCCCTCCCATTTCCTTTTCTTTGTGTGTTAGCCAGTCACACTGTAACAGCAGGGACTGCCTTTTTATTAATCCCTGGGAGCCTTTTTTGGTTAAGATAAGGGTTAAAATGCTGTAAATCAAGCCATCAGTTTGTTACTTTTCATATCCGCATGACTGCTTAACATTGGCAGTGTCAGCTGAGTTGCTGTAAGCAGAGGTCTGTTTCAGTAACCTCCACTCTTTCATCAGATACATTTTGGATGAACCCACAGTATTTGATAAAACTTGAGGAAGAGGATGAAGATCCTGACGATCCCGAGAAAGGCTGCACCTTCCTGGTTGGCCTGATTCAGAAACACCGTCGGAAGCAACGGAAGATGGGCGAAGATATGCATACCATTGGCTTTGCCATCTATCAGGCAAGCTCATGCTTGTGTGTGTTCTTTCAAACCAACACCAAGGATAAAGAGAAGGGACTGTTACGTCTTAGGAGCAAAGCTGACACATTTGGAACATGCCATGAATGAGTTGCTACATTAAGATCTATAGTCTCCTCACTGGTTTGTCGGGTGGTGGATGGACAAAATATAATGGCCACACACACACCTCTTTTCTGTCCACTCACCAACGGGCATGTTCATACCTCATTCAAGCATAGCATCAAGTGATGATCTATCTTATGGGTAGCCAACTTGTGGCCTTCTGCCTGTGTTGGCCTCATAGCCTTCACCACTGGCTGTGCTAACTAGGGCTGATGGGAACTGTAGGCCCAAACATATGGGGAGGTGGCCTAAGAAAAGGAAAAAATCTAATATTTTCTTCAGGCATGGGCAAAATAAACATTTCTTTGGGTGCCTGTTTGGTGACACATTAGTACCTTTCAGTCTTGTATTCTCAGAACTTCTGGGGAACTACAAAGTACCCATTCATGATCACATGAATGAATCAGCCACCCCACCCCTCAGCTTAATGGACTGGCCCAGAGGCACTCAGAGGAAATTAAGCTGGCTGGTGTTGGGAGTCTTAGGAAGTGGCCCCAAGGGAAATGCATGGAGTCGGAGCTAACTAAACGCTAATGTATTAGGGGGGATTACTTTGGGAATGACCTTTGGACAAATACATTGATTTTAGTATAATTTATTTAGAGGTTCTTTGGCACAGTTCATGGGCTTGCTTTTGATGAATTAGATATGGTGCTGCAGCAGAAAGCTGGTTTCAAAGACCTTTTGTGTTTTCAGCTAGGCTCTTACCTTGGCTTTGTACCCAGGCCTTTGAACAAGTTCTTTGACTTTTAGGCTCACGAGTTGTGCCATAGGGCCCAGCACATAATTTGGTGTTTGGAACGCAAACCCAACCTCTGCCTTTTACTCAGTTTCTCCTGCAAGCTTCTTTCGTGGAGAATAGCCTTACTACCTGGCAACCAATTTTGTAACCAGCCATGACCCTGTGGCAGTCAGTTTGGGATGGTGCTTGTGACAATTCCTCAAATTTTCATTGTGGCCAGAGGCCCAAAACAGCTTTGGAGCAATACAACTGCTAGCTTTACCAGCACCAAAGTGGTGCTGAATTATTCTAGGTAAAGAGGAGCTGTGGGTGAGTAGAGGTTGGAACATTGTTCAGTGTTTTCAATAAAAATGTGTAAATTGCTCTTTTTGCTTTCCCACAGGTACCACCTCAGGTATGTACTTGCATTTTCTTTAAGCTCAGGCATTCATGTTTTGCTCTTGAATGTCCTGATGAAGGGGCCTTCCAATCCGTATTGAAGGAAGCACCATTTTAAACCTGATATTTCAAGTTTCAGAATTTTATTGTGGGCAGGTTGTCATTCACTAAATCTAAGTCCTATAAAAACAATTTACATGGGAGCAATTCAAAATGTGCAGTAGTTTTAAGGAAATTCAAATGTATTCGTCCAGAAAAAACTGTAGTATACTTACTTTAAAAATAGTTTTAAAATGTCTGGTATTGGGTAGAACTGACGGCTGACCAGTCAGAAACACTTTAATAAATCAGATATTATCAAATATTGCCAAAGGAAAGAGTTTATTTAGGATGGCAATAAAGAATGCCCTATACTATTTAAGGGTACAGTCCAACGGGCTTCCCAAATCATCTGGGAGGCAATGGGATTCTTCAGAGTCCCATTGCCGAGATCCTGAGTCTTAGAGCTGGGATTCTGAAGGCTCTTGGTCCATTGTGACTGGTATGGAAAGAGTCACACCAGCAGCCCTTCCCCACCCAAGGTTGTGTTTGGGCATTGGAGGGAAGACAGGGCTGTGCTGGGAACAGGGAGTGGAGGAGGCTGGGACCATGCAATTCCACTGGTTCCATCTGGCGCTGCCTGGGGCTAAATCTCAGCAGCTGGAAATGACCATTTAGAGAAAAGGTCGGGTTCAAGGGGCAGTGCAATTGCTGCTGCCTCGCCTGACTCCTGCCATTGGATGTTCCTGAGCCCCTGAGTTTGGAGGCTTCTGGGAGCACGCTGGAAGTTGCAGGCCTTTTTCTGGCTAAGTGTGCATAGGATTGTACCCTTCCAAACTTAACAGGCTGATTTGAAGTAGAAAGTAAGCCTGAAAGCATTTTCTGTTTACAGTGCACATATTCGTGTATGTGAACTCTAGTCAAGAAGCAGGTTTTTGTTTTGTTTTTTTTAAGGGGGAAGGAATCCCAAGAATACTGCAAAAAGCTTCCATTTTGTTTATAATTGTATTAAATTACTTGTACAGCACAGTTCATGTCACACGCTTATCCTAAAAGAGGGGTGTTAGAATGAGGCCAAATCTAATTTGGAGAATCTCTAGAGGCTGCATTCTGGTTGGTGGGGCTGAAGGAAAAAGGGATGGAGCCAAAGGCGAAGAGGTGGAGCCAGAAGGGCAGCTGATTTTAGCTGAAATCTTATTGTGTCAGTAACAAGGCTCAGGAGAGGCAATCCAACCTTTTAGCCTGGGGAAAGCTACACAAAAGCCAGAAAACCATCCGGTAATCAATGTTGGGGAGGGTGTGGGGTCAGTGGGGAGGGGCATGGCTATCTGGGGAACCTGGTAGGACTCAACTGAGAACTGAGGGTTTGTCCCCTCAGCCTGAGCTTTTGCACCCCTCATTAAGGCATAGGTAGCATTCTGTTAGCTTCTCTTCAGTTGCATTCTGGACTGATATCTTATTTTTGGTATTATTGTTTTCTTCTATACAGTCTTGTGGCAAAACTAATGTTCACCTGAGCAAAAACTACTTTCTGACCAATCGAGCAAGGGAACGATCAAACACATTCATCAATCTCCGAGAGGTATTAAATCGATTCAAGCTCCCTCCAGGAGAATATATTATTGTGCCATCCACTTTTGAACCCAACAAGATCGGGGATTTCTGCCTCCGGGTCTTCTCTGAAAAGAATGCAGACTCACAGTACGTCACTGATTTGGCAGGTTTTCTTCTCACCTGTTGTCATCGTCATTGTCTTCTCTCTTACAGCAGATCCCTGGCTGTGATGGGTTGGAACAGCAGTGCCATTTTAACTTTTGAAGTGCAGATGCTTAACTTGACAGGCCTTGTTGCCATGCCTCCAAACAAGGCCCAAAGTGTAGGCCGCTGCGTGAATCCATACCAGCAGACCAGTTCCAGCAGTTTTCATCTCCACCAGAAGCAGGTGTTTTTTAAAGCAAATGGGTCTCAGTTGCCCAAAATAATGATGTATCAATCTGGTTAAATTAGTTTTATCTGTGTTATCTGGGTCGAAAGGTGTCTTTTGTCCCATCACCTACTCATTTGATTTTTTAAAAAGCAGGATTTCATTGTATTAGCCACATTACTTTAACAAATTAACACTGGAGTGCACTCATGCTAATTTGCTGATCTTCTTTTGTGAAGGTGAACTAACGCAAATCCCCACCAAAAGTGGAGAAATGGTCTGCAAGTCTGCAGAATCTGCATGACTTGGAAAAAGTCGGCTGCTGCAAAATCTGCAAGTTCAATTCATAGACATCTGCACTTATTTGAATCTGTTGCAAATTCCACTAACTTCAATGCCACAAAATACTTTGTATTATAAAACAGAACAATACTGGACTGCCAGGAAAATTCATTTTCACTATCCACTCTGAGAATTTTGGCTAAGCTCAGAGGGAACAGGACATTTTTGGAGGCTGATGTCAAAATTGTTGTTGTTGTTGTTAGTCACAAAGTCATATCCAACCCATCGCGACCCCACGGACAACATTCCTCCAGGCCTTCCTGTTTTCCACCATCCCCCAGAGTCCACTTAAGCTCACACCGACTGCTTCAGTGACTCCATCTAGCCACCTCATTCTCTGCCGTCCCCTTCTTCTTTTGCCATCAATTGTTCCCAGCATTAGGCTCTTCTCCAGGGAGTCCTTCCTTCTCATTAGGTGGCCAAAGTATTTGAGTTTCATCTTCAGGATCTGGCCTTCTAAAGAGTAGTCAGGGTTGATCTCCTCTAGGACTGACAGGTTTGATCGCCTTGCGGTCCAAGGGACTCGCAGGAGTTTCCTCCAGCACCACAATTCAAAGGCCTCAATCCTTTGGCACTCAGCCTTCCTTATGGTCCAGCTTTCACAGTCATACATTGCAACTGGGAAAACCATAGCCTTGACTATACGCACTTTTGTTGGCAGGGTGATGTGATGTCAAAATGGGCAAGTCAAAATGTGCTAGTGCAGCAGTAACTGATCCAGAAGCTGTTACTGGCAGGAAGTGTAACTTACCGTTGATTTTGTAGGGCTGAGATATCTGATCAGACCTGTTGAGCCATTTACTTCTGCTACTACTAGGAGGCTAGTGGAGAAGGATATCATGGGTTAGCCCAAAGCTGAGGCCATCGAGCTATAATTGCAGCTGGAGATGATACAGAGAAGTGTAGTCACAGTACGCGCTAGAGGCCACCAGGAGAGCGCACAGCTTGGGCCAGTTGTGTGCCTCCCTTCATCAGAACTTGCTTGTGGGCACTGACTGCCACGTATCCACATGCCACTCAGGGCTCATCGACTGGAATGGGTGACGGAACCTTGCACAACATCTGTGACATTGGGATGGTGTAATGTGGTGCCCTGCAATGGCAGGGGGTTGGACCCAATGGTCTTCATGACCCCTTCCAGCTCTACTCTTCCATGATTATGTTGCAACACTAGCAAGAAGTGTAACTTACCACTGCTAGCTTAAGACACTACTCTACTCTCAGGCATTGTAACAATATATGAGAGGGCTTTTAAAATTTCCAGTTAGTTGTCTTTTAAGGCCTATTATTTTATTGTTAATTGATTTTGAAATGTTCAGATGTTCAAGTTTTATTTTATGTTTTATGTTGTACTCATATTGTATTTGAGGATTCTGTGATTTTGGCAGGCCGTGATTTTGATGGCTGCCAACATTTGTCCAAGCGCTGTAGTGCTGGCATCCCTGCCTATCAGCCAACTATCTCCTATTCACTTATTTTATATATTTAATCCCATTTCTATGCCGCCCCATAACCCAAAGGTTGTTTGGGTTGCTTACAGTAATAAAGCATAAAAACATGCATAAATTACAATAAAACAGTTATTATTCAGATAAAACATAAACCATAATAGAATAATCAATAGCACCTCAAAATATAGTCACATGCACTAGCAAACAAAACCAACAAATGAACCAAAATTAATTTAAGATAAAAATCTATAACAAAATAAAAAGTATAAAATAAAAAAATAAATCAACAAAAAGTTGTTTAAATAAAAAAGTCTAAGCTCCCTATCGATCGTGTGTGCATCATCTGTCCATCCACCAATGAGATGAGACTGTTCGGCAGAGCTTTCTGCATGTATGTCCAGGCAGAACCCCAGTGGGGCCAGCATTGCTGCCTGCAGTTCTGCTGACCTGTTCTCAAAACAGCTTTGCAGGCCTTCAGGCGCTGCTGCAGCAGAGCAGCTTATAGGGGGCTGGGTGCCCGAGGCTGCCCTCAGAAGTCCCCAGTTCGCCAGTCCCGTTCCTCTTTCTGTTACTGTCAGAGCAGACATGGCCAGCCTTTCCTGATGCCCCCATATGGGCTGTCACTCTCCTTGTCGTCTGTTTGTGATTCTCCAGGTGATAAGGCAGACCCTTCCTGGAGAACCTGCCTCTGCCCAGGGCTGCCATTAGGCCGTTCATCTCACTGGACTGGGCTGGGAAGGGGTTGGGCTTTTCCCTGACTATGCAGCTCATTGGGACTGAAGGTGAAATATCCTTTTAAGGCCTGATTCAGAACACTCCTTGTGTACTGAGCACAAGAGAAACTCTCCCCCTACCCCTAGAAGTGTTTGTGTACATGTACTTCAGCGGGGTCTGAATGAGCGTCACCATCCAAATGTGTGTTTTTTATGAGCTTTGGGTAGTATCCTGCAGACAAAACTGCACCTAGCAATGGCAGTGACCTTTTCCTCCTCCTCCTCCTCCTCCTCCTCCTCCTCCTCCTCCTCCTCCTCCTT